TTCGAAAGAGCATTGTTTAGAAGACTTTCGCCAGTCATGCATGAATATGAGCTAGGGCTGTTGTTCGGTTGCTTGTTGAATGCAGATATATGCTTTATTAGTTGCTTTCCGTCATTGGTGATTTAAGACGCTAAACACGGAATTATAATTAATGACAGTTTGTGTATAGTTCCACTCTTGATACAATGACGCCCCAGTAAGAATAAGAAAAATGCCTGCTGCGATCTGGTTGCTGCCCTAATAAACTGCAGAAGTGTAATGAACAAAGTCGATGAGTTCACTGCCCTGCTCTAGTCTGTAAAAGATGATATCGTATTTGGTACAGAATCGTGGCTGAACCCGACTATCGCCGATAGCGAGGTGTTTCCAAACGATTTTATTGTTTATCGGAAGATTGGCCCAGCCTCGGGGGAGGCGTTTTTTTGCTAGTTCATTCCTCTCTAATCTAGGCTGGACATTGATCATGACGATGTCGAGTCAATTTGGTGCTCAGTTACTTTATCTGAAAATTCGTCGTACGCTGTCGGAACGTTTTATCGGCACCCTAATTCAGATTTAAAGACGTTACAGTCGTTGTTTGAAATCGTTTCGGAGGTCTCTCGGCACCCTATTTTACTTGCAGGTGACTTTAACCTGCCAGAATTGAAATGGAATGATGGCAGTTGTTCATGTAAAGTTAGTAGTCGCATTAACCTAGAAAAAAGAACATTGTAGATATTTATGGACTGTTACAATATGTAAAGGACCCAACTCGGAATAATAACATATTAGACCTTTTGTTTCGAAGTTCACCCAACCTTATAGATTCCGTCACCATTATACCAGGAATAAGTGATCATAAAGCCGTCATTGCAAGCGTCAAATCAGAATCATCCGACCGACGACATGCGCATCAAGGAAAGTTTTTTTCTTCAAGAAAGGCGACTATACTAGTACATCTCAGCAGCTGCTTGACCACTTGCCGGTCTTTGAATGCCTGGCTGAGGATTACGACGTCCACAAATTATAGTGTGTATTTAAGAACAAGCTGCTTGAACTTATGAACCGTTATGTTCCAAGCATTGATTCTACCAGACTAAAAAAACCTGGGTGACTTCAAGTATTCTAAGGATTATTGAAAAAAGAAGGAGAGCATTTCTCAAGTATGAGAAAACTAGAAGTAACAATCAGTTGAAGAGATTATCTGAAGTAGCGCAGGAGTATAAATTATCTATAAAAATTGCGAAAGAAGGATATTTTAGAAGACTTAACGACAGGATGAAAACTAGCCCTAAACTTTTTTGGCAGTTTATAAAAGGCTGTGGATCAGATGTCTTAGGAATAAACGAAACTGTGCGCAACCATCATGTCCTCTTAGACGATACTGAAAAGGCTACGTGCTTGAATGATTACTTTCAATCTATCTTCCTACCTAAAGATAGCAGCTGTCCTCCAGCACATGCAAGTGCCATCCCGTTAATGGAACCAGTTGAACTAAGCGTGAGGGGCATCGAGTTGCTTTTAAGAAACATTGACGAAACTAAGGTAAATGGCCCTGATGGTATTTATGCACGTATACTAAAGCGTTGTGCCGGACCTATTTCGTTGTATCTTTATGTAATCTACGAAAAGTCACTCTCCAATGGTATACTACAAGACGATTGGAAAATCGCCCATGTTGTCCCTATTCATAAAGGTGGTTCAAGAAAAGAGGTTTCACATTACAGGCCAATATCACCAAGTGGCATCTCGTGCAAAAGTATTGAACATGTTTTATATACAGGAATAGTGAAACATATAACGAACAACAGCATACTAATTAATCAACAACACGGGTTTCGTAAAGACCTATCTTGCACGACACAGCTCGTGGAATTTTTCCATGAACTGGTGTCCAATGTTGATGATGGAGGGCAAACGGATCGTGTTTTTCTAGACTTCCGTAAGGCGTTCGACACTGTGTCGCATCCGCTCCTTCTTAGTAAACAAAAGTCGTTAAACTTAGACTCAAGTGTGTTCCGATGGATCGAAAATTATTTATTTCAACGTCGCCAATGTGTTGCCTTGAACGGAAAAAGTTCGCAGTATGTTAACGTAACGTCAGGAGTCCCACAAGGCTCGGTCCTGGGACCACTTTTGTTTTTGATTTATGTAAACGATATTTCCGTGTGAATTTCCTCCTGTATACAATTGTTTGCTGACGACTGCGTTGTGTATAGGAAAATTAAGGACGAGCAAGATGCTGCTACGTTGCAACGAGACTTGGATTGTATTAATACTTGGTGTTCCAAGTGGCAGATGAACTTAAATCCAAAGAAGTGTGTTCACCTGAGTTCTACCAAGAGAAAGAAAAAAATTGAAAGTACTTATCAGATAGATAACGCCCTAATAAATAACGAAACTACCTCAAGTACGTTGGCGTCACACTGTCATCCGACTGTTCTTGGAATGCTCAAGTTGATTATGTCATCCTAAAAGCTGGCAGGGCGCTCAATTTTATTCAACGGAATTTGAAATGTTCACAACCTGAATTAAAGAAAGCCGCGTACTTAACATGCGTTAGGCCGATTTTAGAATATGCCTACGCCGTATAGGACCCTCCGCACATAACCTTGATTGATAAATTGAAAAGAATTCAAAATAGAGCTGCTAGGTTTTTACTGGGTCGTTATGGGCGGAGGGAGAGCTGCACTAAAATGAAAAGCGAATTGAATTGGGAACTGCTTTCTTCTCGACGAGAAAAGTTGAGACTGAAGTTTTTATTTCTCATATATAATAATAAAACTGGCATTAACAGAGAAGTGTATTTAAAACACCCACATTATGTTTCTAGGCGGACTGAACATGCTTCCAAAATCCGAGAGTACCACGCCAGGACGAACATGTATGCAAATTCTTTTTTTGTTAAAATCATTGCAAAGTGGAATAGCCTGTCTGAAGACCAGGTGTGCTCTACAAATGAAGATGTATTTTTTTTTTTCAAAACTGTAACCCCCCCTGCAATAACGCCTCCGGGCAACGCGGGGTTACCTTTGAATAAAGAATAAAGAATAAATAGTAAAAAAAAATGAAATTGGAAACTGCCAGTTCGTCACCCCCGATGTTGCAAGGTGGTAATGGCCCGGCCACTATAGGTTGCGGTGATGTACGCGAGAACGCAGCGCCGCGTGTGGAGATCTTATAACATCATTTGTCTATCACTTTTGTTGTTCTCATTTAGAGCCCCCTGCATCTTAGCAGATTGATTGGTGGTCATAGTATATACACCATTTGGTATATTTGAGCTCGTCAACATAACAAACGAGAACAGCGAAGGCGTCCTAGAGGATAAAGATTACTCTATTCGGTTGTTGAAGCTTGCTGAGAGTAGATGAGTCTTAGAATTACCACAGGAGTCGGCGATTAAACAAAAGCACCTTAATTTCTCGAAGCTCGATACCTGTTTGCCCGAGAGTCCGGGTTTACTCTACATTATCACCAGTCCATTTCTTCGGTATATTTCAAGAAGATCTTTGATTTGGTGAGCCTCGTGAACCTGGCAGTATTTAACGTACACACCGATTGCATATTTCTAATTCGATCATCCATCTGCAATAACATGCAGCCGTTAGGCGGGGCTCACATAAAAATATTTTTCGTTTTTTTTTTTTCTGTGAGCTATCTGTAAAATTAGCGAGAATTCAGGTAACCCGCAAATGTAAGAAAGTGATATACCGGGATTTTGCACAAAACCTTTGGTAAACAAGCGTTCAATAATTCATACTGTTAAATTATGTTTAAATTATTTCACACAGCAGCAAACAAAGTTGATCTGAACTTCTTGCGAATATTAATGTTGGAATAGTCTTTTTTATATATAAGTACTGTTTAATATGCAGGTGATCCTCCTTCCACTGTAACTGCCAACTTGCGCGCTAAGTAGGTAAAATATCAAATCAACCTTTTGCCATCGGGTTTTTAAGAGGCCATGCCAACACTAATCGTCTTGCCCAACAAACAGTGCAATATCGGGATTGTAAAGGAAGTAAGTATTGATATTTCCATTTCAACAATCTGCAGTTGCCTGCTACTTGCTCCGATTTCGCTTCCAACTGCCTAGAACACTCAAGGCAACCGATGCGGAACTTTGAAAGCCTCAACTCGTTTGTGCTAGCTCAAATTGCCTCTGTTTGTACGGATGTATCTTAGCCCTAAATAAATAACACATCTGTTTCGTTCAGTTTACCCCGTAATCAAATGCAAGATTAGATCTTTCTTGTAAACCTAAAAAACAAGTCAAGAGGACTTACATTTATAACAACAAAAACGAGTTTTTTTTTCTAACCTTGAAACATACCTTTTCTTACTGGATTAGGTTTTTAAGCAGGAGGCAACGATATGCAACAAAAACCGATTAGTAAAAATATACCGATGACCATGCAGCCATAACCTGTGGCAACATGAGAATAGCATTAGAGGCTCGGCTCTCGAACGACAACCGTCTTCTGTATGTTCAATATGACGAGAGATCTTGTCGGTAAGCGAAGTTGTAATGTTTTAGCCAATTTTGAGATAACGGTGCTGACACATGCTACTTATTTTCCTTCAGATGAAAAAAGGTGGCGTTATGTTTATAAGGTGTAGGGATGCCATTTCTATCTTAGAACGCACGGACAGAGCCCCTCCTGCGGTTCACGCGTATAGAAGTAGGCAATTAATACAAAATAAGGACAGTGTTACTAGACCACTCTAAGGAACCGCGAATAAGAAACTCAATATGCATATTAGTCTTACAGATAGAGTCGACATGCACAGAATGTAAAACGAGATTCCAGCTGCGATGTGTGTTTAGTTTTTTATAGCTTTTCCAATCTCGGGACTCCCCTAAACCTTGCGGGCGATAGCTCGCGCGCCGACTTCAAATGCCTTGATACACTTTTTCGAGAGCATATTTTTGTAACGTCACACTCATGTCCTGGAACCAGGCCTATGACGAATACAGTGTTTAAGGACAAGTTGCGACACATGCGTGCTACACTCACACTCGGAATCTTCGTAGATGACCGTGACGCTTTTCCAGCGGTTCTTCTTGAGCACCAAGTCGAGGTACGCTCTGCTCAGGACGTCAGGGTGCGGGAACACGTTGAGCGAGTAGAGGCGGCCCTCGGACCCGACGCCAGAGGCGCCCACCGTGGACCAGGATGTTTCCACGTGAGGCACGTGGAACGCGTTGCAGGTGGAGCTCACCACAGACACCACGGAGGGGCTCCTTGGACCCACCACCATGGACACGCCGTGCTTCAGAAGACTGCACACTTTGAGGCAGAAAACAAAAAGCGATTAATTGGACTAAATCACAGGTAAATTCATCAAACAATACTGGGGAGACGCAGGCGGATTGTTACCCTGCCTCCGTCTCTTTCTTAGCTAAGGGTATTATGGTTCGACAAAACTTCGAGATAGCCAAACATACGAAAATTCCACAGCTGTCAAGTAAGGGTTCAAACTGACACCATGTACGCAGTCAGTCTCATATTGCACATCACCTTAGTGAAGTGTGTCACCCTGTAAACTTCCAAACCCTACTGAAAAAAAAAAAAAACATTTGACGCCTATATGAAAGTAAACGGGTCCATACCGGTAACAGTTTAGCCACACCGGTCACCAGTTTGTCAAAGGGGTCACCCGTGTGGCTCAAAAGGGGCCCCCCGTATGAGCCATAACGTTCACCTATTTGGATAAACAGGTCACTCCTTTCGCAAACGGGTCACTCCTCCGGGCAAATGGGCCACTTGTTTGGGCAAAATTGTCGCACGTTTGCTCAAACCGGTGATCATGTTGCACAGACGGGTGACCGGTGACCGGCATATTGTACCGGTTCAATCGAACGGCTCTCCGAAGCCCGTTTAATACTGAACGTACAGGTCGGCGTCATGGGCACGCCTGTTTCAGCCGTGGTAGCCAATGTTTCCGTAAGGCTGGGAGCGCCGGTTCATCGATTTGAGATCGTCCGCGTAATGCAAGTAATTAAATTTATATTTTGCGCTGATGTTCGCTTATACTACAACTAAAACTAACACATTTTTTTACGTAGACGCGCGACGTTGGTGAGCCGATATTTCTGACAGAACTTTAAAAACTTGTCGTTCTTTGTTACCTCAATTTACTTATTCAGCTCGAATCTCTCTCGCAGCTAGAAAACGCGACGGCATGAAAGAATGTAGTTCTAGACTCTGTTTCACTTCAATTCCTGACGCAGCGAAGGTAGCGCACGAACACGCGGGTGCAAGAACATCGAGCATTGCGAGAGCACGCCCGCCGTTGCAGCAGTCAAACTATGAGCTCGCGCTGAGTACTTTCTTCGCTTGGCCGCAAGCCGAACCTCTGGCTGGCGCCATTTCCAACGTTCGAGCGTGCTGAAATGCGCGCGACTCGCCTGCTTTCCGAGGCTACAATAACACGCTCTACTGGAATGCCTGGGGAGAGGGTACAGGGCTGTCCCGGTGTCCTGCGCCTTCACCAAATACTTTACTAGGGGGAATACATTCCAATCTGCTCATTTTCATTAGACAGAACGCCTGCAGTGCCGAATCCAGCCCTGACGGAGTGGAGGTCCGCGTCAGTCCACGCGCAAGTGCACGTGGATGTTCGCGGCGGCCGCGTCGGTGTCGTCTCCGATTCCACCTAAAGCCCATTCATATTTCAAAAGTAGTGCAGGGTGCGTCGATGCACGAGGCACGTGGAAGATCATGGCGGCACAGCCCTTGGGAAGATCATGGCGACACAGCGCAGCAAAGTATTTAGCGTACCACTGAGCTAGAGTTTAGACGCCATGTTATTCTTAGAAGTGGCGCGCGGCACGTGTCTCGCGCATTTCCACAACAATGAATATGGTATGTAGAGCATCAATATCATCGATAGCCGAGACCTCCCTGACGATAGATGGCTCTCGCCAAGCCCAGAAAGCCTGACCGCGCCGAGGCTATTGTATTTGACAGGAGTGGAATGTATTCTCCCTAGTAAAGTATTAGCCTTCACCGTGCCCCCTCCCTCCTCTCTTGTCACCCTTGTCGCGTGACCCGCAGCAGCGCGCGAGCTACACGCTGATAAGCATCGAGATCCGGAAGGGCGCGCCTGGCAGCCGCTTTTTGCTTTGTCTGCTTGTTGTTAGTTGCAGTTCAAACTTCACTCGTCCTGCCTGCTTAGACCTGTCGCTTAAAGGAGGACCAGCAGAAATATTCTTCCGCCTGGCGGAAAGTCCTCCTCGCCCTCTTTCTTTCTTGTATTGTAGCACGGCGAGGAGAGGGGAAAGGTCCCCTTTTGCGCCGGCTTCTTCTGAGAGGATAAGCCGAGAAAATCCCCATTCTGAGCGACGGGCGATGGGTGCGGCGACAGCGACCTCGTGACTTACAGGTTCAGCTCCTATCGCGTAATCTGCCCCATTTTTTTGGCGCTCACCAAGCCTAGCCCCTCGGGTGTAGGTTTTACGAAGCTGCGAGGCTGCGCCCGTGCAGTCACCGAATTTTAGCTGTCGAAGGTCTTTGGTTTAGCCCGTCGCAAAGTAAACGCATACTTGAGAGCTGCGATGCATCCCCGGACCCACTGAAGGAACGTTTCATAGATATTTTCAGTTGACCAAGGAGCTCAAAACACATGCGCGAAAAGTGGTGACTTGAATATGTAAGGATGACTTACATCTTCACAAAACATTCTATCTTCAAAAAAAAAAAAAAAAAAAAAAAACGGCTTATCACGCTCAAACCTGCCTCAAATTGGGATCGATGGAAAAGAAAACGATGTACCAGGCGTGGGCATCTTCTAGAAGGTCTCTGTTTTCCAGCAGCGAGCACAAATTATTGGAGAATTGGAGAACTTTAGCAGACTATGTTTTCAGGCCACGCTATATTTAGCCGGAGCTCGCGTTGCCACTTCGATGCATTATCTGAAGCGCGCGGCTGAAGTGGCAGCGGGCCTTTAAAAACGATTTACTAAAATGCCCTGTTGATGGCCAGCAAAATGTATGAAATTCATATTTACACATTCCCAGCAGCCACCTGAGGTGAGAGGGTATCAAGGGTGAATGTCAATTTTAGAAAGTTTTAGTGGGTCGCTTTTAGCCACTTAGATAACCGTACGGTCCGTACCCCACAAAGAAATGTAAGCTAGACTCGCTGTTTACATTCTTCATCGAGAGCGGCTGTGGAGCGGAAAAGACAATAGACAGTTTTAGTATAGCGTTGCTGGCTCTTACGTACGCAATACGCAATAGTATAGCGTACGCTAAAAACGACCCGCTCGGACCGATTTTAGTTGTGCGTTACGTTTCCGAGTGAACATCTCGCATGAATCGCAGAATTCCGCGTGCTTATAGCGCCACCATCCTCCTGAAAATGAATATCGCAAATGAAAACGTGTCCAATCATTTTATTCAAAGTCAAACCAGGCAGCGTCGACGCACACTGCGAGCGGCGAACATTTCCACTGTGCACTTCTTCAGCTGCAGGGCGATCTGATTCGACCGCGGTAGGTCCCAGAAAGAATTGCCGAGCTGAACACCACGCAATTTCACGTAACACAGAACGTAGAAAACACACGTCACCCTTGCTGCACCAGTCGAGGCAACCGCCATCTTGAAACTGGCGCTCTCGTTGGGTCCGAGATCTCTCGAGAGCGTCCCGCAAGGCCCGGTAGCCAGCAACGCAAAATCCCCAGCGTTGCGTGCGTACGCCGTACGCAATACGCTAGCCCTTCTATTGCGTTCTGCGCATGCGCACTCACGGCCCGCAATCTGTTTGCCTACGCAAAGCTATAGCGTACGGTCCACTGAAACTGTCTAATTAGATAGTTTTAGTGGACCGTACGCTATAGCTTTGCGTACGCAAGGAAATTGTGGGTCGTGAGTGCGCATGCTCAGAACGCAGTAGAAGGACTAGCGTATTGCGTACGCGCGCAACGCTGGGGATGTTGCTTTGCGGGCTAGCGGGCCTTGCGGGGAGCTCTCGAGAGATTTCGGGCCCAACGAGAGCTCCAGTTTCAAGATGGCGGTTACCTTGACTGACGCAGCAAGGGAGTCGTGGTGTTCTCTACGTTCTGTGTTATGCGAACGGTGAAATAACGTGGTGTTCAGCGCGGCACTTCTTTGCTGGACGTACCGCGGTCGAATCAGATCGCCGTGCAGCTGAAAGAGTGCACAGTGAAAGTGCTCACCGCTCGAATTGTGCGTCAACGCTGCGATCTGCTTGACGCTAGGTCTATAGGCAGTATTACTGGCGGCCATAGCCGTGTGCGCAAATGCTGAGCGCGTGCGGATGACAAGCTTCCACAGTTCTTTTTGTAACGTGCATTCCGCACCGTCAAGGTTGCCGGTCTTCGCAGCCTATTAATGTGAGCTCGTTCTGAGCATGCGCTCTCAACAGCACCCTCAAATATGGCGTCCAGTGAATGCCCCCTATTCGTTCAGTTGCATTGATTGATAGCATTGATAAACGGTGCCGTTTCCACGGGACGACTGACGGAGGCTCCGTGATCGAATTTGGCTACGCACTCGTACTCGTAGCCTCTGTACCCCGCAGAAAAGCGCGCTTGACGAGGCAGCTGTGGCTTGGTTTAATCTGAAATAAAATGATTGGATACTTTTTCTTTTTCAATATTTCTTTCCAGGAGCATGGTTGCGATAAGCACGCGGAATTCTACGGACTCGAAAACGTAACGCACAACTAAATTCGGTCCGAGCAGGTCATTTTTAGCGTACGTTATACTACTGCATAAGAGCCAGCAACGGTATACTAAAACTGCCTATTAAAACCCTTTTTGGCGAGTCTAGCGTGTCGTGTTATCGTTCAACGTTGCTTGTATCGGTACCATAGCACGGGCCGCCACTTCGAAGTATTTGTGGTGTCTCAAAGAAACTAAAGCAAAAGCAGACAATTTTTTTTTAACGTGACACAGAATTGTATTTAACATTGTAAAAAACTTTTAGGTACCCTACGCCACGCAGTTACCACAATCTATCGCCGGTGTTTCCCACTTTTTGTTTGTTAGAAGTGAACGATGTTTAGGAATCTGTTAATGCGAGTATCCAACCTAAGCGGTAGATTTTAGTGCGAGTCGATACATTGCTGGGGAAAATAGCAAAAAGCGCCGCGTGTTTGCGCTAACAGGGTCGCGTAATGTACGCATACCGCTGCACAATCAACGCTAACATAGTAAATCAGTAAATTTAGTGGCCCCAAAAAAAGTGGTGTTATTTTGTTTATTTTTATGTTTGAAAAGTTATTTTTAAACAAGCAATTCGGTAAAGAGTGCTTCCGCTGGG